AGTGAAAATCTGTTTATAGGGATTTTGTGACAATGAGAATAAGTAAGTTTAGTTTTATATTGAGTCTAAATTGTGATTTGAAGACTTGGAATTTTCTTTCAAAGGGATAAAAGACTTATGTGTATGTGTGTAATACTTTAAAAAGAAAATGAAATAAAACAAAATAAGCTACAGTGTTTCAACATAGCCTGAAAATCAGTTAGCAGAGGAATTTAGAATTAGATCCTGAGATAGATGGGGATATAGGAAAAGACATATTCAATTTGGGAAGCCTTTATGGAAAGTTAGGATGAACACAGAGGAAAGGAAGATGTGATCCCTCTTTAGATGTTATGTTGTTTGCCATGGATGCTAAATTTTTTTGCATTGAAAATTAAAGGATTTGGGGAAATGTTGAATGGGGCCATAATTAGACCAGAAATACATAGATGTAGATAAACATATAGAGAGAAGCTAATTTTCTGTTTCCAATCTACGAAGTCTCTTCACAGATAAACACAAGGTCTGTGAGTTACAATACTTTTGTTGATGTCACTGTAGTTTGGTTGACTTTCCTGTCAAAATAATATTCTGTAGTAAATTAAATTGACATACCTCTGATTTTTCTCTAGTATTTACCTATACCATACATAGAGCATATATTCAGCAGACTATAATTTAACCAAAATGTCTATATTTAAGGTCAAGTTTGTTTTATCATTCATAGCACTATTAGTAATTTATTTTGTAGTCTAATCCTGATTAAGATGTTTTTTTATTTAGCTTATGAGCTTTTAATAAATACCGATTTCTATATAATCTAAAACATTGGCTAAAAGAATTTCCATGCTGAGAGGTTAGATGGAGAGGAAAGGTGGTAAGGATAAATTAAAGAGGAAAGCAGGAGGCCTGGCGGTAGACAGCATTATCTGCAGAGTCTGATGGGCTCAGGTTCAAGCCTGAGCTAGCCTATACTAGCCTTGTGAACTTAGCCAAGGCACTTGACTTCTCTAAGCTTCTTAGGGTGTTGTGATCCCTAAGAGAGAAAATATAAGCTACAGGCTTACTGTAGTACCAGCATACCATGAACACTCAATAGATATTAGCAACTAATAATAATAAAAATATCATTTCTGAATTATTCTTTTAAAAATATATACCTGTAGAAGTTGTCTTCTCCATTTTGGTAATTTACCCTGTTCTCCTTTTCAAAACTTGGATTAAAATACTATACATCGCATATTTCTTCTTCTTTTTTTTTTTTTTACATATTTTTTTAAAAGATTCATTGCTTTTTTAAAAAGAATTTATTTGTTTGTTTGTTTATTTATTTATTTATTTGGAGAATGAGTGTGGGGAAAGGCAGAGAGAGAGGGAGAGAGAATCCCAAGCTGACTCCACATTGAGTGGGGAGCCCGATGCAGGGCTCAATCCCAGGGCAATGAGATCATGACTTGAGCTGAAATCAAAAGTCAGATGCTTAACTTACTGAGCCCCCAGGAGCATCTAAAAACATTCATTGCGTTTGAAGCAGTTAGAATTAAACTAATATCTCTGGGGCATTTAACATATATGTGGCCTGATGGATAGTCTACTGTTTAGAAACATTTCTAGCATATGTACTCTAGTATTGATAGTTCTTATGTTAAAATGAAAGCTTCCTTATTATCCCAACATTGCTTTTTCATTTCCATAATAAATATGTAACAAATTGTAAACTTTTTATAACATGTTCTATGTCATTGGTGCTACACGTTTTGGTGGCAACAAACCAGTAACCCAGAACAACAGAGCATAGTGTTTGGTGGAATTAGTGATGGCTATACGACAGGTGATATTAAGATTTCCTCTCTTCTCTGTCATTAGGTCTACTATTTGATTTCTCTTCTACATTTATTGATCCAATGGCTTCCACCTGTCTCAGGAAAAAATCCAATCTCTTCATCATAGCCCTATATGGCTTGCTCCTGGCTCTTCTCCCAAAGGTGTTGTCATCAGATCTCTTTGATTTCTCCCTTGCATTTCCTCATGCTCAGAACCATCAGCAATTACTTATCGACCACTTACGATATGCAGCACTTTTAGCTACATATCAATGTCTGCTTTTCTTCCCCCTCGTCTTATTGTGACTCTTGCTGATCTCCAATGGAAGGAATTTTAATTATTAGTCCTAATCAAGTTCATCATGACCCAAATGTCTTTGCAGACTCTTGGAGATTTCTATCAGTATGGATATAGATATATCTCAGATGGTAATTTTTCCCAGAGCAAAGGATCATGCCTTTGACATGTTCAAACCTAGCACCTAATATCATGACAGAAAAGCAACAAATTTTTTTTTTTTTTACTTAACTGAATCAAATTAATTTGTTTGAATTTCCAAGGAATTGGGTGTTTATATTGAGAAGGGACATATCAAAAATAGTTTTAGATATTTAAAAGCCTATATACTTCTTAGATAAAGAGAGAGATGTATTAGATGGAATATGTAGATGTATTATATCTAGTACACTCAAACTAACTTGAATATTTTGAATGTAGCAATATGCTAAACTATCTACATTTATCATGAAGATAATTTTTTCTTTCACTTAAAATGCAAGAGCTGTTAAAAACTCCCATAATAATATTTTTTTTTATTTTTCTTATTACTTCTTTTACAAATCAACACAATTCTAAGAACTAAATCTAGAAGGAAATAAAAACACATAAAAAGAGAGACGACTACTAATAGGAAAATGAAAATAAAATAAAAAATAAAAATATTTTATGTGAGCTAAAAAGTAAAAACTGACTAAACAAGAGGAGGAACAAAAATCCACATCATGTAAATTAAAAACAGTACTTAAGTTTGAATGATGAAAAACAGTAGAGAACTATAATGAGAAAGTAAGAAAATATTTGATACAATATATACATTTTAATAATGTATTTTAATAATTACACTTTTACATATGATATACATAACATATATATAATGTATAACACATGAATACTTTTTTATCAAGGATAAGCCAGGGAATGTCATTGAAGAATACTAGGTCATACACATCTGATGGCACTTCTGAGGGGAGAAAATTTTTTCAGAGTGGAAAACAAAATCTCAAGGCAGGAAGGTTCCTTAAATACTAGCCAAGCTGTTCTTTTATCCAATGCTTGATTCCTTTTCACATCAGTTGACTATCATTTGGGAAAGAGCTTTATGATCTTTTTAATAGTCATTTTCAAAGAGGGGGATGAAAACATGTTTCACTTCCCTACAGACTGAATCCAGTTCCCAACACAACAATAAAGCCGGCCTTTCCAGCATTTCCATGAACCTCATTGATAAGTCCAATGTTAGCTCTCATCTCATTTGATTTCATTAATTTCCTTCTTTTTTTAAAAAGATTTTATTTATTTATTTAAGAGAGAGAGAGCACAAGCAGGGGAGAAGGGTAGAGGCAGAGGGAGAAGCAGGCTCCCTGCTGAGCAGAAAGCCCAACACAGGACTTGATTGCAGGACTTGATCCCAGGACCCTGGGATCATGACCCGAGCCGAAGGCAGACACTTAACAGACTGAGACACCCAGGAGCTGCTTGTTAATTTCCTTCTTGAAACACCCTCTACTCATAACCCTTGTTGATTTCAAATTCCCTCCTACACAGAAAATTAGGTCACCTTTGCAGTCCCTCTCCTTTAATATCTATTCAACTTCAGAATTCTATCTTGGACACTCTTCTTTTTTTTATGACTGGGGAGTCTCCTTCCCCTTCTTACCTACAATATTCATCTATATGCTGATCCATAGCCTTAGTCCAGATGTATATCCTGAGCTACCAAACTCCACCTCCAAATGTTACCAAACATTTTTACATACAAGTCACAAGCATACCAAATTTTCCTCTTTGTCTTTTATTTCTTCTTCAGCTTAATGAGAGCTTCCAAAATCTACGTAATGCAATTGCCTAGTATGTTGAGTTATCAACCTGAATGCTTTTCCTTCGTACTCATTCTCTGCCCTCCTCTAGTTGTAGAACATTTACAAAGTCATGATGGCTACTTTCCAAGTGTTTCACAGATTTTTTTTCATGTCTTTTCTTTTCTTTTTCTTTTTTTTTTTTTTTTGGTACTATTTTCCTCATATAGAACATCATCTACTTCATATACTTTTCTTTTAGTCTCCTGATGTTTCTGTCCCCAGCTTTGCCATCTGATAAACTATTTTCCATTTTATAACAAGGTCAATAAAAAAATTGAATTGCTTCTCCATTAGACCTCCCCTTAAACACCCTCCTCTGAAGGTTTTCTAAAGCCTATAAGACAAATCCCAGTTTCTTATTCCTCTAGCACTAAGCTAAAACTGTCCATAATCCTTTAGGTCACAGCTTAATGTATCCAAGAAACCTCTCTGTCACCTCCTCCCCCAGCTGGTCACCAACCCCAGAAGACTAAATTAGCTGATCTTCCTATGTGGTTCTATAGCACATTCTGTCTCATTGGTCATCACACTGTATGACGTCTTCTTTTTCTTCTTCTTCTTTTTCTTTTTTTTTTAATCTGTATCTCACCCTGAATTCAGCTCACCGAGGCCAGGAAATTCCTGTATCTTGGTTGTATTATAGCCCTAGAATGTGGCATGATGTCTAGCACTTAGTAGGCACTCAGTAAATAATCATTATCTAAATAAATGAATGCATTTGGGGGTAAAGGTCTAAGGTCTTTTCCAAGTTTGAAATTAATTCTAATAGTTCTCCTTTATTCTATTATTTTTCTTATTTTACCTGAGAATTCAAAAGCTAATAGCACAATTTTAATGCACTTCGGCTTTGTAAACATGACATTAAGAGAAGGAATGTAGTTTCAGTGGGGAAAAGGGTAATGAAAATTGCCATTTTGTGAATGTTCACTAACATAGAGTTGAATGTATATATATGCATATACATATATATATACATATATATATATAAATCTAACTTATATTTATATAAGTATGTGTGAAATTTGAAATTTTCTAAGAGATTTTTTTTCCTTTTTTCAGGACAAAACCGTAGTTCCTCTACTGGTAAGAATTAATATTTGTACTTTACTTATTTTATTTTTTTTCTTTCAAAATTTATATATTTAATTTTGATAGAATTTTCTATTGTTATCCAGTAAAATCATTTTATAAGAATGAATGTTATAATTATTAATGGTTCTTGATATTTTCTTGTTCTTAATATTCTTGCTTATAAGATATAAAGATTGACAACTACTTGAATGTATTTGTATATATGTTATTGTGTATAAATTATAGCTTTTCTTAAACTTGACAATAAATTGTATGGCAGGACTCCAATCTCTTTTTAAATTTTAACATTACAAACAATTCAAGTTAGATCACAAAATTTCATGGTTCAAAACTTGGTTAAGGAGTTATCTGAGAAATTAGAGTTCTAAACATATTACATATGTTATACATATATACATATGTATATAAAAGAAACACTTTGATAATAGTAAGATATTTTATAATAATCATTTCCAAATTCTGTTGTCACAATGGAATTAATAATCTTAATGAGTATTCTAATCCTGAGGTAAATTAAATTTAAACAATGAAAATGTTAAAAATAAATTCACACATACTACATGCAAAATAAGAGAGAAAATAAGTTATATCTCTTAAACGTTATTGCTATTTAAAATGTATTACTGATTTCCTGATTCATCATATGGTTGACAGTATGCATTAAGAAGGTAAGTAAAGCCACTAAGATAATTCTGTTTTGATAATTATAATACACAGTTCTGCTTAGGTTCATTCAAAATATTCTGAGAATTGGGTAATTAAAGGAATTTTTTTAATTAAATGAAAATTCACTTCAAACTATGGAATCAAAGAACTATGTGGAAACTAACAAAATGTTCCTGAATCTGCATAAGAAACATACTCTCTTATTTTTTTTAAAAGATGTAGTATTAGGATTTTATCATTGTATAGTACAGCAGAGAATTTTTATAAATACATGAAAAAGTATTTAATGCATAGTAGACGTGATTGGTTTATGCCAACTACTTTCAGGCATTGTAGCACCTCCACTTTTTACAAATGATTAAGTTCATTTCAATCATATAAATTGATTATTGTTTCAGGAGGGAGTGGGAATGGGTAGAATGGGGAGTGAATGTTTACAATGGTAGATGACTCATCTTACTGAGTTTCCGTTATCTCTGCACTGACCATTATAACAAGCTTTAAAATTATGACATCAGGTAAGTCAAAATAGTGAGCCCAAATGCAAATGAGAATGTCTTCTTGCAAATACTGCCAAAAAGAAAATGATCTGTGGAAACCAGTAGTATCTCCAAAGTAAAGATGAAGGACAGTGTAGAAGTGGCAACTGGAGTGTGCTTTCTAGCCCTGAATTAAATTCTTATTCATTGAATTAAGGAATATGCACTGAGCTTAAGTCATATGTAAGCATATTAAGGTGTCTAGGTAGGAGGGTAGTTTTCTGAACATCCTTTTTGCATAGACCTTGGAGTAGATTTGCTTGATGGGATGTAATCTTTAGGAATGCTACTCTTCAACAAAGCCTAGCACAATTTACTAGGTATTTGGAACGATATTCCTTTCACTCTCTTTGTAATTCAAATCTAAAAAAAATGTGATAAAGGGAAAATGTCACCACATTTCCTTAAAGCAGAACAGATCATCAAAATCCTGCCCAAACCAAAGACGGTTTAACCTAAAAACAACAAATTAGTAATTGTTCAAGTCTATAATGATGAAAGTGCATTAATGTTATTGTGCAGAATTTTGAGCTCCTCCCTCTCTCCCTTCCCTGTTCTTTCTCCTTCTCTTTCTTCATGCTGTCTTTTCCTCTTCCCACCTCCCTTCCTTTTATTCAACAAAGAGCACAGGTGAGAGAATAAGTCAAGTTAGACTTAGAATTTTACACAGAAGCCAGAAGGAGCTACTTGCCTATTACATAGCTAGATGTGTTGGCCTGTATTATGGGTGAAAGTTTGCTAGTAAATATATTGATTTGTGAGTTACTGGGTCATGAAATTCTAGAGATTTTGGAAATTTGCCTTGGAAAACAAGGACTGTAACAACTGTACTATCACTTTGGATTTCTGAACCACGGCAGAGTTCCACCTTATTTCATGTGTAGGGCCTCGGGGAAGTTCAGTCGGGTTTGGATTTTTTTTTTTTAAGATTTTATTTATTTATTTGACAGAGAGAGAGATCACAAGTAGGAAGAGTAGCAGGCAGAGAGAGGGGGGAAGCAGGCTCCCCACATAGTAGAGAGCGCGATGCGGGTGTCGATCCCAGGACCCTGGGATCATGACCTGAGCCAAAGGCAGAGGCTTAACCCACTGAGCCACCCAGGCGCCCCGGGTTTGGATGGTTTTTAATCTGTATTTAGTAAACATTGATTTCACTTCGCCTTTGACATTAAATGAATGAAGCAAGGACTTCGGTGTGTCCTTTCAACTTCTATTTTCTTAATTCCCTATTCAGTAATCCTTTAATTTCGGTTCTTAATTCTTATCACTTCTACTCATTTCCAGTTTCTCCCCTTCTTCCTCTTCTCACATTCGTGCTATTTTCTCTTACCCACTCTTGTTGCACTGAATGGTTGAAATACTTGTGTGATATAATTCAATTTTTGTTAATTAAATATTGAAAAACATCAATTTGGCTATTCATAAAAGTGAATACATGTGAAACACAGATGCTTTAGAAAAAACACATCACTATAACCTCAATATCCAGAAATCACAATGTGGTTTTTTTAAAAACAATTTTTGGTGTATTCTTCACAAGCGCCCCCCCCCCCCATTCTTTAATAAAGAAATACACACTCTGAGTAAGAGACCACCAAAAATTTAAAGGCCTTTAACACCGGTGCTGATGTGCCTGCAGGAAGTTTTTTTTTTATCAAATGTATACTTCAATCAGCTGTGCCTGTACCTATTTCAACACTGCCTTGTGACATTGTTTTTCTTCTGAGGTGAAGAAATAATGATATAAGACATCATCAAAAAATTGAAAACATTTTTGTAGACTTGAGTCATTTGTGTATCTGTGTGAGACTTTTGTTTCCCTGTCTTTTACTTAATCTGCTTTGTTTGACTTTGATTTATTAAAAAATAATCACTTTGTACCTAGGACTTTATCTTTCATTTTTTTTTTTTTTTTTCCTCCTGGAACACTTGTCCTCCTAATAATCTCCTTTGGAGTTTATCTTTCTCTATTCTTCATTAATAAGTCCTTTACATTTCTCTTTTTATAATTTCTGTTCATCAATTTTCTTTGTATGTGTGTTCCATCCTTATTTTATTTTATTTATTTAATTTAAATTCATTTACCAGACATATAGTACATTAGTTTTTAACATAGTGTTCATTGATTCATTAGGTCCGTATAATACCCAGTGCTCATCACATCACATGCTCTCCTTAGTGCCCATCACCCAGTTACCCCATCCCCCCACCCACCTCCCTTTGCACAACCCTCAGTTTGTTTCTCGGAGTCCTTCTGAACCCATTTGCCTTGGACAGTTGAGAATCCAGCAATTGAAAGGGAAGAAGGCAGGGAATAGTTGCTTTCAATTTCATTTCCCCATTTGTATCTTTAGCCTCTGTTCTGTAACTTGTTTTATATCTAAGTTTATATATCTATACCTCTGTATGCATCTATATTTATATATATGAATGTATATATGTATATGTATTTACTAATATATACACACACGGTGTATACACATATACACACACCATAGATCTTGTCTATGTTGTGCATGTATGTACACATATACATATATATATTTATATATTTATATACACGCCATAATAGACTGGGGAGTTAATAAATTCAGATGAGTATATGTTGCAGGATATGATTCATATATTTTGTTTTGTTTTGTTTTCTTTCTTCCATCTCCCATGAATACAATAGGACTGAAGTTAACAGAAGAGCTCAGTGCTCTGACTTCTGGCGACCCCTTATCTGCCCGCACCACTGCATTCTCACTCCCAAGCATCTCTGAAAGAGAAAATAACTCCTCAGACACCACCCCACTTCCTCTTAATCCAGACATTACTCCAACTGAAAGATCCTGGAGCCATTTGGATAATAATACTCTTGCTGTGACAGGTTGGCACAGAGATGTTAACTGAAATGAGTTTAGGAGAACTAATCTTTCTTTTTGAATTCTAAAGTTATCAAAACGGTTTTTCTTTAAATTACATGTGCAGTTTCTATGTATGTGATTTTATTCAGGCATGTTAAGGGTGGGACATCTAGGTGTTCATGAAATATTGACTGGCCAAAGTAATGAATGATCTCTGTTGAGGAGACATCGGGAAGGGTTGGGGGTGGGGAAGCCCCCACAAGGAACTTTGTGTGGGAGGGGGATTCTCCCTGGCTGGAATTCCAAAGCAGAGTCTTTCTTTGTTCAACTCCAGATTCTCAATATCACAAAATTACTGGAGATATACAATTTATTTTTTAAAAAACCACACTGAGGATTAATAATTCAGCTTTGCTACTTGGATTTCCCCCAGGGATATTTGCATTATTTAAAAAAATATTAATCTAGGTTGTGGGTCCTAATGGTAGAATTTAAGGTAACGTGGTGACATTCATAGCAAAATATGAGTGATGTGGGGGGCATTTTCGCCAGGGAAGACCACTGAGACTCTTCAGAATCCCAATAAATCTGTAATGTGTTCATTTTTTATATATTGTTAGGTCTGCCAGTGTATTTGGTACATAAATCAACTCTCAAAGAGGGTTGTTCATGTCTTTTCTGAAATAATGCGCTATATTGTCATTTTCTGAGGCAAACAGGTTTGTAGACATATTCTGATTAGAGATTAAGCTATCTGCCTAACAGGGCCATTAATCTTAGTTTGGAAAACAAGTACGTCTAACACTATCTCAAAAATTTGGGGGGTAGTACATGATAATGTTTGAAGTATCATACTGATGAAGTTTATTAGCTGTAATAAGCAGTTAAATAAATGATAAATGCCTCTGTATGTTGATTACAGGACTGTACATCCAATCTTTCCTCCAATTTTCCCCATTACCCTAGCAGAGCAGCAGCTAGGACCTATCTAAACATTGCAAGCATTTGAATTCATTGCCCCGAATTTTAACAAAAAGAATGTGAGGAGGAGGGTGTTGATGGTTAGGCAGAACATTTCAGGCTAAACTTTTTTACTAACTTTTTTACTGAGTAAATGTCACGCAGAGTTTTCAATTTCAAAGTTTCCGCATTTCATTTCTTGTACACAAATACATGCATACAACATTCCAGATGAAGCAAAATGTGAGAAGAAATGTTTAAAAGGGAATAGATTAGGAATAAGGGCAAATAATAATAAAAATATTATAGTAATATTAAAATGCTAACTTGCTCTGGCACAATAATACTGATGGTGAAATTATCTTGGAAGGTTTCTTATACTTTCAAATAAAAAAATAAACTTTCCCCCCTAGAAAAAAGTCTTGCTATCAGGTGATATTTTAATTATCTACTGGGATAAAATCTATATATGTTATTTAATTTTTGTTTGTAATCGATCTATGTTGTGGAATACAATAAAATATTCAGACTTACAGATATATGTAGTGAAAAAAATCCTTTGATCCATTTCCTAACACTGTAATGTTCTCATACATTTTCAAAATTACTCAAAAGTCATTAGACTTCATTATGAAGCAAAATCATTCAAAAATCATTAAGCTTAATTTTACAAAAATATTTTATGCATGTTGCGAAACATCAGTATAGAAGCATATACAAAGTATATACTTATGCTTATAAATACTAAAATGCATACGTATAGTATTTATATAAATACATATATTTATTTGTATAAGTATATATATGTGTATGTATGTATATATATATATATATATATATATATATATGTATTTGTTTTACACACATACACAATGAAAATACTATTTCTCCAAATCCTGATTCTTTTTTTTTTTTTTTTAAGATTTTATTTATTTATTTGACAGACAGAGATCACAAGTAGGCAGAGAGAGAGAGAGAGAGAGAGGAGGACGCAGGGTCCCAAATAAGCAGAGAGCCTGATGTGGGACTCGATCCCAGGACTCCGGGATCATGACCTGGGCCGAGGGCAGAGGTTTAACCCACTGAGCCATCCAGGTGCCCCCAAATCCTGATTCTTAAAGATATTGTTTTATCTGTGTTATAACTTCCAGACTCTAGACATGGGATTCTGTGAGAGAGTCTGTGTATGTGTGTGTGCAACTGTTTCCCCACATCTTTTCTAGTACTAGATATTAATTAATCTTTTACAACTCTGCCAGTACAACAGTTAAAATATTTCATTTGTACATTGAAAAAAATTTCATACTGACGAGCATTTTTCCATATACTTTTTGGCCACTGCATATATTAGATGTCTGTTACATGTCTGGTTCATTATTTTTCTTTTTCTTTTTCTTTTTTTTTTTAATGATTTGCCTATTGTATATTGACGGATTTGTTATTGATTCTGCCTACAAAGAAAGATCCCAGTTTTCAGTTTGTAAAGTTGCAGGAGGGTGCACAATGCTCATAGGGACGTAGAGGTTAAAAAAAAAAAAAAAAAAGCCACCTGGAAACCTGAGTCATCTGTGACTTCATGGCCCAGAAGGAGCCTCTGGGAATATGTAAATCAAGAACACAGGTGCCACCTTCCCGCCAGGCCAATTTGACTAGAGGCAGACAAACATATTAATAGACTGAGTCATTTCACAGTTCGGTAAACAAATATACTTATAACCTCCTACTATTTGTATTTTTCATCTAGAGTGAGGAAACACTGAAATGATTTCACTTTCTTACCTTAGGTGTTACACAGCCGTCTCTCCACCCCACGCACGCAGTCTTGCAGACGTCCTCTGCCGGATCTGACACGCAGACACCCAGCAGCGCTGCTACCCTTTCCCCACTCACCCCTGCTCTGGGCGGGAATGACACATCAGGTTTGCGGGGCTGTTAGACTTGCGCAGATAGGAAGAGAGCGTGACAACTGCCTGTGTTTAAGAACAGTGTGTGGGAATCCAACCACTTGTTAAACGTGTAGCACTTGCTAGTTGGTGAATGTGGAATTTCACATTTCCATAGTTACTGTCGTTTGTGAGGCCACATAACTATTTCCTTGTAATACAGACGAAATCATAAAGAATGAGACTTACAAGAATAAAAGAAAGACCTGTTCTGGAGGAAACGGTTATTTAGGATACTCTCTTATGTTTCTTTATATCCGGGGCAAGTATCATTGCAGAGTGAGAACTTTTTTGCTGCCAATAAAGAATAATATATATGAATTATTGCTTAAAGATCCCTGGCCAATAAACAAAATGATGAAGACTGGATGATTTCCATCATCAATGAAGGGCAGTAAGAAATTGTAACTACAATTTAATTATTTTTTTAAATGGGAAAAAAGAAGTAGATGCTTTGTATTCCCCATTCAAACATTAAGATTCTCTTAACTTAGCATCTCTGTATATAAAGCAATGCAAAATATTCCCTCCCTTGTCTTTCCAAAATCAGCGTCTAAGTCACGTCATGGTGGCTTTTTTATTTTTTTTTTTGGTCCCAAAAAATGAAAATCCACACAGACACATATGAAATTGTAGGAGCATGAGTACCTGAAGGTTAAAGATAGAAATGGGACAGCCTACAGAGCTGGGGCTAAAGTGGCCTTGCTCTAAGTATGAATCAAACATGGAAGTCAAACCTATCCAATAGAATGATCATTATTTTGAGGGATTAAACCCTTCCCTTGGCACAAAAATCCTTAGAGGCAATGCACAAGCTTAAAACAACTGAGGACCGAGCTGCCCTTGCCTCCCCGCCTCGTTCCGCCTACTCCAGCTGCCATGAGAACCTCAGGCAAAAGATTTGGAGCTTTTAGCAAATCCACAGATGCAGAAGTTGTGGATGGGAAGGAGCTGTAAAAGAATTAAAGGGGACTGACCTGAGGGGGCTGATAATCACACAATCTACTCTATTTGTCCTCCTGAAGAAATTCTTCCTCTCCAAGTGGCTAATTCCACTAATTAAAAATTGATTGGGATTAATTAACCTAAAGTAAAATGGTAAAAGCCACTTCTAAACCAGCACTGAGATTACCTACACAAGGGAGTAGTAGTTTTCACATGAAGGAGGAAGGTAGGGAATTTGGGGGGAGGAGAGGGGGGGCTTCAGAAGAGCAGGAAGACAAGGGACTCAGGGGAGGTGAAGAGAACAAGCTTGTGAAAGAGAAGTAGGGAAGAATATGGAAGGAAGCAAAAGATAAACTTGCTGGTTTTTAAAACATGGCAGAGGGCCAGTTCTGGCTCTAAATTTTTATTTTATTTTATTTTTTTTTTTAAGAAGAAATAAAAAGACCTTCTTGCCCTTCTCCTTGTTCTGTTGGAGCCCTTCTCTGGGGATCCAGAACTGAAGAAGTGATGTTTATGTCATTCATTCTCCTCTATGGTTTAGTGAAATGGGGGAATGGGGAGTGGATTAGGAAGACTGAGCTGAGAACCCGAAGTCAAATTTTTGGAAGATGCCTTTTCAATTCTAATGGATGTAGATACGAAGTCATAGACTGTTCTCGGTGTGTAATTGGAGGGTGTCTGCATGCTGGCCTTGAAACCATTTTCAGAATACGCGTGCGTGTTTCACTCTGCTCAGACACTGTGAATCTTACTGCAAATGCAAGGCTGATATCCTATCATTGAACTGAGGACCCCAGGGAGCATGACAGTGAAATAACCAAATAAGCTCAGAGAGAGGCTCGTCAATATTTCTGTTATTTTTGCCATGACAACTGCCAGAGTGCTAGTCATCTAATAGGCACCCAATGCATACATGTTGTTGGCTTGCGCCATAATTCTGGGTGTGATGTCTGTAGGAAGACGTCATATGCAAGAGATGCTTTGAAGCTTGACAATGAAAAGTCCTAACCAAATACATTGTGCTGTTTCTTCAGCGGCGACACCTGATCCTATACCAATTGGCTTAGATGTACTTGGAAAATAAAGGAAATGGTGTCAGGATAATGTGAAAGTTCTTTGGTTCTAAGCCAGTTTGGTTTTGATTTTTCCTGGCCAGGGCTTTTTCCCTACATAGGGAAAGTCAAATTGTAATCTTCAGCTGGAAAGGAAGCGCCCTGAGCTCAGCAGGGCAGAAGCCCATTCAGCTCTGATTTCAGAAAAGTAGACCTCAGCACCTGCACCCAGAAATTCCTCCCCAGAGAGGTGCACCCTTTTGAGGCTTTCAGCACATGGCAGATTGCGCTTCCTCTTCTGCCAACCTTAACACAGACTTTTACAGCCAGAGCTCCACTCCCATCTCTGTGTCCGCACCCGCAAGCCAGCACCCCACTCTATCGCCTTGATGCAGTCCATTATACTGTATTCTCACTCCCCTCAGCCAGGGAGCTTGGCTTCCCTGAGTTGTGAAGGCTGGCTTCTGAGGTCCCAAAGACTTTTAACATTTGTGCTCCAATGACAGTCCTGCACAGGTTCTGAGTCACCTGACGTTAAACTTGCCTCTGCCTCAAAGGTTGCTGCATTTCATTCAGTTTTGCAGAATGCATAGAACAGTGTCTCATTGTTGCTTGGCCTTCGCTTCAAGAATCTGCGTATGTTGACTGTCTGGCCATTGCCCTTGGAGGGGCAGAAATGGATGACAGTGATGATGGCCTTTCTGATTGCAGGCTCCCCAGGAGAGCGGACTACAACCAGCATCTTCCATGTAGACCCAACTTTCACACAAGTAGCCACCCTCAGCCCTGCACACAGCAGCTCTGCTGCCTTACCTTCACGCATCTCCAGCACCACCGCCAATGATAACTCCTCAGGTTTGACCATGATGCTCGAGGTGTCTTAGGTTATGGATAATGAGATGGAAACTTGAAACTTTAATGCAGCTCTTTTGCTTCATACCAAGTATTATTGACAGGTTTCCTGTTTTACCGAGTTTCATATATTGATAATAAATTAGACAAAATAAACTTGCCAGTAAGCTTTTTTTTGGGGGGGGGGCATACTTTATTTTGTTATTCATAGTAGGAACGTTGATGGCAAAGAAGAAAGATAATAGACTTTAGGGTCATAAAGCCCTGGGATCAAATCCTTAACTTTCTGGATGACTTTAGCACAAGCTACTAATAATTTGTGTGTGTCAGCTTTCCCTTCTGTGAAATGGGTATTATAATATTCATTTTATAGGATTGATGTGAGAACTGAGTATGTAAAAAAAAAAGGCTGGTAGGCAGTAAATATTAAAAAAAAGAGTAAGTGGTATCATTGTTAGTAATTAAAATAAGGAAGCTGTAATTGAAGGAGAAAGCAGTAGTTTGGCCATCAGGTAAGAATTACACCAAGGAATGAATAGTTTCTCTCAACTTATTCAATGTCATGTTCTAATTATTTGAACTATTGTTTATCTTCAAGGGCTATTGGTAGATAAAGCTTTGATTCACTTTTTTATTTTATAGATGAGCAAGTGTTAATTTCAGTGAAGTCTCCTGTAGTAAAGATTCGGTTGGGAAAGTATCTTTGCTGAAGAGTTTTTCCCTTGTCCTTCATTATGACAAACTCATTAACTTTTATTCTCTGTTCATTTCCTTGCAGATGTGTCTCTTATGTCCACTTCACCTGCAACAAGCACTACCCATACAACTGCTACCACAACAATAGGTGACAATCTTACTCTCAACCACGCAGTCGTACCACCACCATGTACCTGCGATGTGCTCATAGAAGGGTCTTCCATTTTCTCTACCCTGGGTTCTCTTTTTCTGAGAAGTTCCATTGAGTATTCTAATCATGGGGGCTGTGGAATAGCAGTCAGTCTTATAACCCTTATTTTAGCAGTGCCACAACTGGTGAGGTCAGGGCATGATGTTACTGTCATAACCTATCAAGTCATTGTAACATCCTCTAAGAGTTGTGTACTTTATGCAAATGCATAGAAAAATATTCAAGTATACTAGGACTTCTTTCTCTAGGAGTGGGTTTAGGTGTTAGTAGGAAACAGAAAAATTCTATCAGTGGGATTCTCCATTCCAAGGGGTGATTCACAGAGGATTGATTGTAGAGCCCCAGTCAGACAACATGGAGCATGGAAGCAAAGCGAAGGGCCTATAGGGAACGAACTGAGAGAATGGCAGTGTCAGTCACTGGGTCGGCCATGGCAGAGCCTGCAAGCCCACTGTTCTTTCCTAAATTCTTCCAACTCAAAGACCAGATTAGCAGAGATCTCTCAGCTTTCACAAAACACATCTCCACTCATTCTTCAGTGAAATATATATGCTTCACCCAAGATATGTTTCAATTCATTGAAAGAGCTGTTAATTACTCTGGATCCAGTGTATGTGCAAAGAACTTAACAAAAGATTAAACTAGGGGATGAAGCATCCTTTGCCTGTTTTCTGATGTTTTTAAACAAAGGTGTAAACTGAAATGTCTAGGGATTATAATTCTATAAATCTACTTTGAGATTAATCAAGGGGATGAGTATCTTTAAATGTTCTGGCTGTGTGTATGGTTAGTTATGTCCCCACACCATAATAAAATGTGTGCTCAAAAATACCAATATTGTAATTATCATAATCATGTTCATTGGGTAATTTCATGAAATGTTTTATAGAATTAGCCCATTAGTTTTTAACACTTGAAGTTTTGAGATTAAAACATTGTACTGGGCGTTGCAAACCCTGCACTGTCTGTTAAACCTAACTCACAGACATTATAATATATGAAGTTGAAACATTGTAAAACCATCTTTTCCCAAAGTGACTATAGCAGAGATACTGTAAAGGAAATTTTAATAATTTACATTCTTTTTTTTTCTATTGCAGTTTCTGCTATATCTAAGAAATCATGTGGTAAGTTTTTTTATCTAGAGGGAGGATACATCACTTTAGAATATCGCTTGAATTATTTCCATCTTCGTTCTAAGCCTCCAAACCACTAGCAAGCTAACTTTACTGGCTCTCACTTCCCAGCAATGAATAGTTCCACATCTTAAGAGCCAGTGTCCTTAATAACCAAACTATGGAAAGAACCTAGATGTCCATCAACAGATGAATGGATAAAGAAGATGTGGTATATATATACAATGGAATACTATGTAACCATCAAAAAAACATGAAATCTTGCCATTTGCAATGATGTGAATGGAACTAAAGAGTATCATGCTAAGCAAAATAAGTCAATCAGAGAAAGACAATTCCCATCTGATCTCTCTGATATGAGGAATTTGAGAGGCAGGGTGGGGGTTCATGGGGGGAAGGGAGGGAAAAATGAAACAAGATGGGACCAGGGAGGGAGACAAACCATAAGAGACTCTTAATCTCAGGAAACAAACTGAGGTTGCTGGGTGGAGGAGAGGGATAGGGTGGTTGGGCTATGGACACTGGGGAGGGTATGTGCTATGGTGAGTGCTATGAAGTGTGGAAGCCTGATGATTCACAGACCTGTACCCCTTGGGCAAATAATACATTATATGTTAACTTAAAAAAAAAAAAAAAAAGAGCCCGTATCCTTCAGGAGCAAGAAGCTTTGATGTTATATTCAGACCTAGATTTGAGTGTCAGGATTAAGAATTACTAGCTAATGATACATGTGAAATGTGGAGAATACCTTCCAGGCTTGTGAAGAAAAAGAATCTGTGTTTGTCTCCGCCTCTCTGTCTTTCTGTCTGGTTAGAGTTTTGGCTCAAAGCAGGTGCTTGAATACTTACCCGGCAGGGGAGACACCATGATCAATCAAAGCAGGTGCTTGAGAACAGTTTATGCAAACCTGTCCCCATTTTCCTATCCTCTTCTCAGTGAGGTCTTTCGTGGCGGGGGCTTCACCCTCCATGTTTGTGAGTCTCCCTGCTGAAGTCTCTGCCTTCAGTAGCCCTCCATACATTTAATGTAAAGATCAGTCTTCAAAAGTTTGCTTAATTATACGGTCTTTTATGCTCATGTTTGTCCTATATTATTGCCTCCTTACACTCTTCCCCTAACTAATCTGAAACTACTTAGAGCGTTCTAAGCACATTGTGGTTACGTAATGCCTCTGTGTTCCCTCCTACTCTGCTTCAGCTACACTTAGAACTCCACTCCACCCTCATCCAGTGCACCCCCTCCCACCATCTCTTTCCCTACATCCTGCTCATATTTTAAAACACAAACTGAGTCACCCACCTCCTCTGGAGAGCCTCTCCTATCCCTGCACTCTGAGTATATTTCCCCCCACCCTACTCTCGTATTATTTGGTGCATAATCTTATTTTAGGTGTTTGCATGTCTTCTGCAACTCATGTCTATGTTTGTCTCCATGATAGGATTCTATGCTTCTAAGAGCAGATCACATATATTCCTAGGGCTTGGGACAATGCCTTAAAGATACTGAGGGCTTAATAATGTTCATTGGATTAAAATGAATGAATAGATTAGCATTTGTGGAAAAAAATATTTTTACCAGTCAACTGAATTTGTTTAAATAAAGGAGATAATGCGACATGTCACCAAGGGGAGGTCCTTAGGAGGGTTTATTATTGATAATTTTAACAAAGTAAAGGAATAATGAGGCCTGTGGTCCCTGAATTAATTAATGTCCCTGGAGAAACAGGTAACCAAGAACTGCATTTTTAGAAGGAAAGAGAAATGATAAAGCAAGGAGAAGACATTTGTCAGATACTTCATTCATTTGTGCATCAATTCAACAAGCAATTCAAACAAATAAGCCCCTACTAATGACAGCTTTTATGCAACAACTTGGATTTATGTTGATGCTCAAAGTAAACTGGCCGTTACTGCCATAGAATATACAGTTCAGTCAGGAAGACAGACATTAACCCATTAATCCTCCAAGGATAAACTTAAAAGTTGAGGTCCTTAAAAGGCAGTGATATAAAGGGAATTTTGAAAATTAATTATGGACACACCTGATATGTTTCTTCTCTTTTTCATGTTCCTGGGGATATTTTGTTAGATTTTCATATTTTTGAAAATCTCTACTAAAGTGTTCACATTTGTTGTAAGTTTATTTTTTCTGAAATTCTTTTTAAAAAAGGTAATCCTCTCTTTCATTTTCTTTCAGATGAAAAGTATGAAAATATCTCTGTGGAATATCATTATGATAAAGAAAATAAGTCATTTCAAGCAAAACTAAATGCTACTGATGTAGTGAGTTGTGACAATGTCACATGTGAAAACAATACAATCTATAACCTAACAGAATGTTCACGTACAAGTTTTACTATAAGTCACAATTCATGTGTTAGTACAAATAAAATTTTAACCCTGGAGGTACCACCAGGTAAATATAAATTGGTTTCTATTGTATATTTACAAAACTGTACAGTTCCACGTGTCTTGCATTCTAGTGGTTGCAGGAATCTGTCAGGTGAGTGAGCAAGGATGAGGGACAGGAAGTCAGCAGGAGGCAAGTGGATGAGCTTTCTGCTCTCCTAACCCAGTGAGGTTAGGAACCCTTATAAGCCTTCTTAATTCTTTTCTCCTCCCTACACTTCTTCTACGCAGTGTTTCATGTAGATTAAGTATTATTTATCGCACTGTGGATAATCAATTATCCACAAGTTTTCTCGCCCCCCCCACACTTAATTCAAGTCATTAAGTATATATGTGCACATATGTATCCTACTAAATGAATACAAGTGGGTCTGGAGTATATAGAGGCAAAACACAAAGTCAAGGATTTGATGGTTGTGGAAAAAACAAGGATACTTTCACACACAAAAAGGAGAGTTATGATCATGTTAAGGAGATCAAGTCAGTCTTGCCCGCTCAGCTCCTGCGGGAAAGGAGAAGGGACCAGGGTATCAAACCCACCCCTCTAAAGCGTATCTTAACAGAATACGTTTTGGAAAAGAGATTCAGGAGCTGTAAATTTGTTGACTCTCTCACATCACATCGTAATTCAAAAATATTGATTTGTTAACATTTCAGTAGGTTAAAGTTTGCTTTCCTATATTGGCTATTGTACATAATGCTGCTTTAAACATAGGGGTATCCTTTTGAATTAATGCTCTTGTATTCTTTGGGTAAATATCCAGCAGTGAGATTGCTGGATCATAAAATAGTTCTATTTTTAACTTTTCGAAGTTAAAAAAATCAAGAGGAACTGCCATATTGTTTTCCACAGTGCTACACAAGTTTGCATTCCCACCAACAGTTCATGAGGAGTCCTTTTTCTCCACATCCTCACCAACACCTGTTGTTTCTCATATTGTTGATTTTAGCCATTTTGACAGGTGTGAGGTGATACCTCATTGTGGTTTTGATTTGCATTTCCCTGATGATGAGTGATGAGGAACATCTTTTCATGTGCCCATTGGCCATCTGCATGACTTCTTTGGAGAAATGTCTGTTCATGCCTTCTGCCCATTTTTCAATTGGATTATTTGTTTTTGGGTGTTGATTTGTATAAATTCTTTATATATTTTGGATACTAACTTTTTATTGGATATGTCATTTACAACAACATGGATGTAGCTAGAGAGTATACGAGAGAGTATAATGCTAAGTGAAATAGAAAAAGACAAATACTATACGACTTCATTCATATGGAATTTAAGAAAAAAACAAGGGAAAAAATAAGAGGGAGAGAGAGAAAGCAAGAAACAGACTTTTAATATAGAGAACAGACTGATGGTTACCACAAGGGAAGGAGATTTAATAGGTGATGGGAATTAAGGAGTGCACCTGTTATTGTAGGGAATTGTTGAATGGCTATATTTTATGCTTGAAACTAATATTACACTGTATGAACCAACTAGAATTAAAATAAAACCTTAAAAAAATACATAGGTTAAAGTGATTTTCTTGAAAAATTATTGAAATAAATAATTAGAAACAGAAATGACCATTTTTTTTAAGATTTTATTTATTTATTTGACAGAGAGAGATCACAAGCAGATGGAGAGGCAGGCAGAGAGAGAGAGAGAGGGAAGCAGGCTCCCTGCTGAGCAGAGAGCCTGATGCGGGACTCGATCCCAGGACCCCGAGATCATGACCTGAGCCGAAGGCAGCGGCTTAAACCACTGAGCCACCCAGGCGCCCCAGAAATGACCATTTAAAAAACACATTCCCCAAGACAGAGCCCCACATACTCTGTGTAATAATCATTTAATAAAAAAAAAAAAAATCAAGAGTCAATAAAAAAATTGCTGGCATAATTAAGAAAAGGAATGAAGTGAGTGTGTTAAAATATGCAAAAAATGCAATGTCACCTAGACATTTGCTTGGGTTCCATCTTTTAAAGGTAAGATAAATTCTAAATAAAATGCTGCCAAAATGTGTGATTTTAAAAAGAATAAACTAAATAATGGAGATAGACAAACCCCTGAATTCTTAGACTTCATCAAAATCACTCTAAATACTTGCCAAAGACAGTATCATGCGTATAATTTCAGTCACTTGAATTGAGCATATGACACACATTATGAAACATTGAACATCTATCTCTATATCTTCTTTTTGACAGATCCGGAAAGATTTTCTTTGGTAGATTGTACACAGGAAGAAAAAGCAGATACTTCTCTTCATTTAAAAGTAGAAATGCGAAACAAATTCACTTGTGATAAAAATAAAATTACATACAGATTTCAATGTGGTAAGAATATAGCTTTGATTAGAGTATTTTTCTGGTAGAGAGTTGTTCTAGATATATCTAATCCTTCCTTCCTTCCTTCCCTACTACCCCCTCCCTTCTTTCTTTCTTTTTTTCCTTCTTTCTCCGCCTTTCCTTTTCCTGCCAATCTCTCTCTCCCTCCTCCCTTCCCTTTTTTTTTTTTTGGAGTCAAAATATTGTATTCTTTATACCACTCAAATTCACAAAAAATAAACTTTCCCTAAAAAGTTTCCCTTTCCCTAAAAAATAACCTTTGAAAAAGTAAAAGTCAATTAATTTACAAAGATTTTCTTGGCAACTATTATACACAAGGTATTGCTAAGGGATCACCAGAGAAGGATGTTATAGAAAAATAAAATGCACATACTGTTAAAATAAAAACAAGCATAAGATCATATGATTCAAGAGTTTATGTGGTCAGCCCTCAATCACCAAAATTCATAGACAACCTCAAGAACACATACATGAAAGACAAGTGGGAAAAATGCAGTAATTGCATCTAGGAATGTGGGTTTGTGTTCATATGGGGGGCAAAGTTGAGATACCAGTTGTTTTTAATAATTAATGACTTAATGAATTTTTATTTCTTTTTATTTGAATTTATTAAGATGGAAGCTCCTTCCTTGGCATAAAGCCATCTGCTAAGCCATATATGGCAAGACACACACACACACACACACACAAAGGATGCAGTGTGATACCAGCTCTAATCATCATGTTATAAAAAAGATTAATGGCTATGATATAAGTAGAATGAGGAAAGCAAGAACAAACTGATGAACTGATGGTAGAACAATGATGTATCTAAAATATTTATTGGACAAAAGTTAACTCAGGTGCAATCTCAGTTTCTGAACAGAGAACTCATTCCATCAGTTAAATTAGAGATACTCTCAAATTCAGTTAGACTTTTTAATATTTTCTTTAAAATGGAGTATGGCAAGACCATGTGTTATGATGGTAGTTTTTAGTATCTTTTACTTATTTACTATTTGCAAAAGCTTTCAATCTGATCGATACTAAGTTATTATAGATATGAAATCTAAAGACAAAGTTAAGTGTGATATATTGTATTCATATACTGATATATTATACTTATTTCTTTCAGAAAATTGTACTCCATCTACTGGGGAGGAAATTAACTGTGAAGGCTTTTTACCTCAGACAAAGTATTCCTGTGATTTACAAGCATCCTATGATGGCCATAAGTTTTTGTCCTTAAATAAAACTATTGAAACAGATTTGGGAAGTGAGTATATTACTTACATGTATATGTAAAATTTCTTCTTATGTGCTTGCAATTATTTGAGAATCACAGGAAATGATGCTGTAGATTTGGAGAAAAGGTTTCAGAAAATAGATATGTATCCATTTTTAAAGCAGAATTTCAAAATGAATGACAGAAGATCCAAAGCTTTGTCAAATTTTTTGTGTATTTGTTTTGGTTTTGTTTGTTTGTTGTTGTTTCAACTGTGAATTGTAGGCCCTTGTGAGATTATGGTGGAAACAAAACCAAGATAGACGATACGGTTTCTTCATGCATTTCCCGTCTCCTCAGCAGCCTCATTCACTTCTTGGTGTCGTTTTGCACCCTCTGCCCCTCTATCAAACCCTGCCTTTGACAGAAGTGAGCACAGGGCTATTAAAACACAGCAGCAAATCTAAATATTGGTGGCAAGTTAGTATGTAGCATGAATAAAATGCTAGCAATATAAATAATAACAAGACTATAATAGTTAATCACAGTTGGAAAGTACCGTTCTGGAAAATAATAGCATTTGGGAGCTGGAGTGGAGAAGGAAGGGAATAGTGCTAAAATTCCACTCTTATTCAGTGGAAGTATGGAGATTCTGATGACATGTAGAATCTTCTAGGGAAAAAAAATGTTAATTATGTGTATGACAACTTATGAGTAACCACCAAAGAAAGAGAGAGGAGGAAAAGGCAGTGGGAAAAGGAGGAGGAGGAAACAGAGGGAGAGGAAAGAGGAGGAAAAAGAAGAAGAGGAAAAGAGAAAGATTGAGGAAGAAGGAGAAAGAAGGAAGAGGTAGAGGACGTGGAAGCGGCAGGGAGGGAAAGAGAAAGGGTGAGAAGAAATACTAGTAGAAAACTAAATAGATAAGACAGCAGAAATATGCCATGGTATATCAAAAGTCACCATAAATACAAATGGCCTCAATTTACCTTTTGAAACACAGATACTCAGATTTGAGTAAAGACATGTTGTGGAGGAATTTTAAAGCCTGAAGGAAGACCAAGTGGTATTTTAGGAGAAATGTTATCATTTTGCTGTATGCTGAGTGACAATCAATGGAGAGTGCTTGTAAGAACGAAAACAACAAATGCAAAAATGGTAGAAGGGAGAAGATAGCTAAGTTTATAATTCTAAGTTATTGAAAGAAGAGAGGAAATTATATTAAGAATTTATTCACAAACTTAAAGGCTTGATTTTTAAAACAATGCTAAAATAGACCTCTAGCAAAAAATGAAACCTCCTTATTGATTTAAAAAAAAAAAAAACGCTAAAAGTAGATATTCAACAAATTATAAAGCCACTTTTCATCCAATCTGAAAAGTTAGATAAAATGAATAATTTTCTAGAACTTATGAATTATGAAAATTTACCAGGGAGGAATTAAAAAGTTGGAATTAAATGTATAGTCCAATGTCTCTCTACTCATTTCACACTCACTGTCTGCTTCCCTCACCTGCCCTTAAGAAAATATGAAGACAAATTTGCCACATGTTCAAAGAATGGTTGGTTTCTATCTCATCCAAACTACTCAACAGGGGAGAAGACACAGAAGTCTATCAATTCACTTTAATTATTCTTAGGGTTTAGGATAGGCTTAGGGTTAATATTCAGTGGATTTGCAACTTGGGTAAAACTGAGGCAACTATAGGCCAGTTTCTCCTATGAACATAGATACTAAATAGTAATTTAAGTATTAGAAAATTGGATCCTTTAGTGTATTAAAAATATATAATCACCAAAAAAGAGATACGAATGACAAATAAGAATATGAAAAGATGCTCTACATCATATGCTATCAGAGAAATTCAAGTGAAAACCAGAATGAGACACACTACATGTCTATTAGAATGTCCAGAATCTGAAACACTCACAACACCAAATATTCGGAATATGTGGGACAATGTTGCAATCCAAAACAAAATCATTCATTGCTAGTAAGAATGCAAAGTGGTACAGCCACTCTGGAAGACATTTGGTGGTTTCTGCAAAATGAAACATACTATTACCATACGATCCACACTCCTTGGTATTTACTCAAAGGAGCTGAAAAGTTATGTCCACACAGAAACCTGCACAAGGATGTTTATAGCAGCTTTATTTATAATTTCCAAAACTCGGAGGCAACCAAGATGTCCTTCAGTAGGTAAATGGGTGAACTATAGGAGAACCAGACAATGGAATATTATACAGCAGTAAAGAGAAATGAGCCGTCAAGCTATGGGAAGACATGACAGAACTTTACATGCATATTACTAAGTGAAAGAAGCCAATTTGGAAAGACTACATACTGTATGGTTCTGACTATATGATATCCCGAAAAAGATGAAACTATGGAAGCAGTAAAAAGATCAGTGGTTGCCAGGAGCTGAAGAGGAGGGAAAATAAATAGAGCACACAGGATTTTTAGGGCAGTAAAAACTCTGTATGATAACATAATGATCGATACATGTCTTATGATACATTTGCTCAAGCCCATAGAATATAGGACACCACGAGTGAACCCAATATGAGCTTTGGATTCAGAGATTGTGATGTGTCAGTGGTTAATGCACCAACTTTATGATTTATGCATTTAAAGTACAGAATTCAATGTTTTAAAAAATACTATGTTAGGACTATATTAAGAGTTGTGCAATCACCACCAGAATCAACTTTAGAACAATTTCATCACACCAAAAAGAAACCCCTTAGCTGTTAGCAGTCAATCCCCATTTCCCTCCTACTTTCCACACCTAAGCAATTACCAATCTACTTTCTGCCCCAATGAATTTGCCTATTTGGACATTTCATATAAATAGAATCATATAATATGTCATCTTTTGGGACTGGCTTCTTTCACTTAGCTTAATGTCTTCAGGGTGCTTCCATGTTATAAAATGTATCAATACTTCCATTTTCATATGTATACCAATATTTATTGCCTGATAATATTCTGTTGTATGGGTATACCTTATTTGTTTGTTCACTTATCAGTTGTTTAGGTTGTTTCCACTTTTTGGTTATTACGAATAATGCTGCTATGAACATCTATTTACAAGTTTTGTGTAGACTTATGTTTTCATTACTCTTGTATCCAAACCTAGGATTGGAATTTGGGGATCATATGACAACCTTACATTTTGAATTTTGAAGAACTGCCAATCTGTTTTACAAAGTGGTTGCTTCACTTTACATTTCCATGAACAATGTGTGAGGGTTCTAATTAACCCACATCTTCACCAACACTCATTATTGTCTATTTTATTATAGTTATCCCAGTGGGTATAAAGTGGTATCCCACTGTGACGTGGATTAATGACTGATGATTTTGAGCATGGCTTCAGGTGTCTACTGGCCATCAGTATATCTTTTATCTATCTACTCAAATCCTTTACCAATTTTTAAATTATTTTTATTAAGTTATAAGAGTTCTTTATATTTCAAGACACAAGTCCTGTGTCAGAGATATGACTTGCAAATATTGTTTTCCATTCTCTGGGTTGTCATTTTACTTTGTTGATAACTTTTGAAACTTACAAGATTTTAATTTTGATGCAGTCCAACTTAATAATTTTTACTCTTTTGCTTATGCTTTGGTATCACCTTTAAAATACAATTCCAAAACCAAAATAATGCAGATTTATTCCTATGTTCTCTTCTAATAGTTTTATAGTTTTATCTCCTACTAAATATAACACTATTAATCCATTTTGAGTTAATATTTGTATACAGTATGAGGTGAGGTTCAATTTCAAACTTTTGATGTGGCTCTCCACTTGTTCTAGCACCATTTTAACCATAATGATGGGCTTATTTCTGGACACTAAGGTCTATTCCATTGATCTACAGATCTATTCTTACACTATTATCACTGTTGATTTCTATTGCTTCATATAAGTTTGGAAATCAGAAAGTGTGATTTCTTCAACTTTTTCTTCAAAATTATTTTGGCTATTCAAGTTTCCATGAAATTACATGTGAATTTTTGGATCAACTTGTCCATTTCTACAAATAAGCCAGTTAGGATTCTGATAGTAGTTGCATTGAACCTGTATAAATCAATTTAGAGAGTAATGCCATCTCAACAATGTTAGTACTTCAGTCCATGAATATGGGATGATTTCCCATTAATTTAAGTCTTCTTTAATCTAGTAAAAATTTTTGTAGCTTCCTATACATAAAACTTGCATTTCTTTTGTTGAATTTATGTCTAGTTTTAAATTTATTCTTGCTTATATGGTAGCATTTTCTTAATTTAATTTAATTTCTTTATCTCTAGTATATATACATACAATTGATTTTCTGTGTTGATCTTGCAGTCAGCCACATTACTGAACTTGTTTATTAATGATAATATCACAGAATTTTTGATACACCATATTAACATGATTCTAAATTTCATATGGAAGGGCTAGCTAAGGACTAAGGGAGTTGCCTAAATCTGCCTCCTGATAACCCTCCAAAACAAAATCACAAGACGAAAAATGAAACTACATTAAAATTATGTTCCTATCATACCTAAAAAAATTTAATTCTTTTTGAATATTAATTACTAAAATTGTTGCAATCTTTATAAATAAATAAAAGAAAATAGAAATCCTAGGAACATTTTTTGTAAGTAAAAGTATATTTTATCTATAAAAAGTATGGAGGAAAGGGTAGTCTTTTTCAACAAATGATCCTGGTATCCCTATAGAAGAAAAAATGAACATCAGTCTTTAGCTCTCAATAAACACAAAAATTAACTCAAAATGGATTGCAGATGTAAACATTAAAGTTAAAACTATAAAACGTCCAGACAAAGACAGTAGAAAAAAATCTTTGCTACTTTGGTCCAGGCAAAGATTTCCTAGTTCTCAAAAAGCAAGAATCATAACGAAAAAATTTTATAAATTAGACCTCATCAAAATTGAATGTTTTTCTCTTCAAATAAAGCCATCAAGGACATAAAAAGCAATCAAGCCACGATAGGAAAATATCCACAATTAATTTTTCAACAAAAGAAGTTTCTCCAGAATATATAGGGAACTCTTCCAAATACAAAATTAGACACCAACTGACCAAATTAAAAATACTCAAACATTTTGAACATATGTTTCACAAAAGAAGATATGCAAGTGGCCAATAAGCACATATAAAGATGCTCAATATCATTAGTCATCTGGGAAATGCAATTTAAAACAACTAGGAGAGGATGATGACATTACACCCCCACTAAAATGGCTAACGTTAAAAAGACTGACAATACTATTGGTGGAGGATGTAAGGTAATAACTTAGAAATTTTACTCCAGGTATTTGCCAAAGAGAAAAAAACATGGGGGCATCTGGGTGGCTCAGTTGGTTAAGACTCTGCCTTCAGCTCAAGTCATGATCCCAGGGTCCTGGGATCGAGCCCCACATCGGGCTTTCTGCTCAGCGGGGAGCCTCCTTCCTCCCCTCTCTCTCTGCCGGCTTGTGTTCTCTCTCTCTCTCTGTCAAATAAATAAATAAAATATTTTAAAAAATAGAAAAAAACATGTCCGCACAGTGACTTCTACACAAAGATTCATAGCAGATTGACTCACAGTAGCCGAAAGTCTGGAAGTAACCCCAATGTCCCAATAATAGTTGAATGAATAGATAAAATGTGGTGTATCCTCACAGTGGAATACTACTCATGAAATAAAAGAACCAACTCCTGATACCTGCAACAACATGAATGACTCTCTAGAACATTATATCGAGTGCCATATGCCAAACATAAAAAACCACTTACTACTTGATTTTATCTATGTGAAATGAGTGAAAAAATGAATTTAATCTATAGGAACAGAAAGCAGTTCAGAGGGTGCTGGGACTGGGCAAGGGAGCTGAGTTGACGGGGAAGTGTCACAGAACTTTTTGGGGATGATAGAGATAGTTTAGGTCTTAACTGTGGTGGTGGTTAGGTAGATGCATATATTTGTCAAAAGTCATACATTTTTACCTCAAATTAGTATGTCTTGCTGTAAATTGTACCTGATAAATTTGATCTAGGCATTTATTACATTCTCCATCTCAAGTTATGATGACTAGTTACTGGAGGCTTCCAAATAATGACAGTTAAGTTTATCAGTACTACCAATGACAGATTTTCAGCACAGTGGAATCTAGAAATCCCAAGATGAATCATAATATATAGAAGAGGAAGAGGATATTCTCAGAGGTCTTCAGGTCAGTGGACTCTTTCAGGTCCTCGGTGCCACTTCAGAGTGACATTTCCTCTGTTAAGGGACCTCTAAAGCAAATTGGGTAAGACCAGATGTCTTTCTTTTAATTTCACGATTAATTCAGTTAAAATGTGGTTATTGATCATCATAATTATAATAGGAAGAATGGTTTTTTTCCATGTCTTTTTTTCATATTTTATATTCTTATTCTTTTAACAGGGCCAGGCTCACCTCAGAATTTTAGCTGCAGTGATGAAAGTGCAACTAGCATCATGCTCACCTGGAAACCCCCTAAAGATATTTTTCATACTTATACTCTTTGTTATCAGGATACAGGTAATTTGTTTAAGATATAATTCCATATCAGGAAAGATAATTCCAGAAGTGAAAAATGCTAGAAATGGGGGTTGAGCTAGTGAGTGACTGTGATAAGCACCATAGATGCCTTAATTTTAGAACTGCTTCCACTCTCTGTGGGCTCTCCAGTCTCTGATGCCTAGAACATCCCCAATATTTGCTTGTCTTTCTTGATCTGTCTTAGTTCTAATATTTACACTCCAAAGCCTGGAGAAAAAATATCTGCAAATAATACTCATTATTATTTTCCAAATATTATGTAAGTTGCATGGTTCAAACTCCTTATTCAGGCTCACAAAAAAACAAATACCTCTCAAAATTTGTTCCTGGTGGTATACACAAAATATTGGATGAATAAATAGGAAAGTTTGCCTAATTTAGCCATGGAAGCCAGTTTAATGGCAGAGGAATCTTGGAGCATAGTTCTAGTTAAAGTTAGACTTTGTAGAAATAAATGTCATTCAAAAAATGTGCTACGACCATGAGCACTTCAGCCATGAGCCCTCCAAATGAGAGTCTATTTAAGGGGAAAAAAAACATCTCCTGGATAACTTAAAGTATCCAAAATGCTTGTAGAAAACTGTAGGCATCACTGGACCCCCTCCCAGCCAACTCAGCATGTGAGAGCTCACTTGCCAATCCTTTACTTGTAGCTTAAAGTAGGCCTGAGCTGAATAGCGTACAGAATTCCATCTCTTTGCTTGGTAGGAAAGAAACAGACATACATTTAAAATTCTGAAATTGCTTTTTTCTAGCATATTGTTTATATTTTGACAATGTTCAGGAACATTGTTCCTGCTGGTTGTTTGACTCTTAATAATGAAACTACTAAAGCAGAGTTAAATACACATGCATTTTCAAATTAGCGTAAGAGGATTCAAAGGCTGTGGAGAAGCAATACATGCCTTCTACTTGCTGTAATGGTAATTTCAAAAGTTAGGTCTATGGGAAAAGAAAATTGAAATTACAGGAAGATAAAACAGCAAAACAATTAGATACTTGCTCAGACCTTTCTTGTACAAACTTCCTTGGTTTGGATTCTGTATGAACACATTGTTTGGCTTTCTTTTCTCTTCTCTGAGTCGTCTACTCACTATTCCTTACTGTACTCTTCCTTTTCCAAACTCTCTCCTATGGAGTATTTTGAATGGAAGACTATATGGTAAACATTTATGAGTGGTGTTTATTACTCCTTTGTACTCTGCACAGCTTTTAAAAAATGTCTACTTTAATAATCAGGTTAAGGAGGATGTAATTATTAGCAGTCTGACAAATTTTGTTTTATTTTAGTTTTATTTTCTTTGCAACTAGTACAGCTCCTTTTTATTTAGTGCCACCAAATATATGGCTATCTAAATGTAACATTTGAACAGGATTGGGGGGGGGAAAGAAGGGAGAGCTGGCCAATATCAGGCTATGTGTGTCCTTCTATTTCACCTTTCATATTTTCCCCCATTTCCCCACCTTTCATATTTTCCTCCATTTCCCCCCAAATCAACTGCCGTAAGAAGAAAGGTGTTCTGCTATTCTATTCATCTCAAACATATGCCATGAGATCCTCTTCAATTTTATCAGGGAGTTGATAGGATTTTAACATTGTTAAAATGATTATTTTAATTACTTTCATTATTTCAAGTAATATCACTATTAAAAATCCACAGGAATAAAGTCTATGAAGTACTATTGCAGATTATATTGCTTTTTAGTTGGGTATTACATTTGATTTCATTATTTCATAATCCAATCACTTCAGTGTCTCTGAAAGCTACATATTGAAGGAGAACGAAAATGTAGTTTCCTACATTTACTTAGTTTCCTCTTTGTTGGGTGTTTTCATAATATTTTAAGATTTTGTTAAGCATTTCAATAATAACTCTGAAAAAAGTAATGTATCCATTATTCATGTGATGCAACTCAGGATCACAGAACTTCTGATAAATGTTCAAATTCAACAGCTTGAACTGTGCTCTTTTGGCTACTGTGTTGTTCATGTTTTTAGCATGAGCTACTTTGAGAAACTGTAGTATTTTATATTAACTTAAGGATGACAAGTGACAAGAAGTTCCCCCAATAATGGGAAAGAGCCATCTATGCTTTGTTGCATCCAAAGTACTATATTTGTGTGTTTGTGTGTGTGTGTGTGTGTGTGTGTGTGTGTGT